CTTGGTTATGCTCGTTCCAGACTGTTGCTCATATATTCCTGTAAAGCCCACCTGGCCATCGCTAAACCCTCTGAATAATCCAGGTCGACCAATCACGAAAGAGAGCGTTTGCACGTGACAGGTCGGAAGATACTTCGTGCGGACCTTTGGGTAATCACATCCGCCGCCTGACTGTGGTGGGGCATGCGAGCCTCCAAATCGCCTCAGGAAGCTATTTCCGTGAGGCGATGGCGACATCAGCCGTCCAACAGGGCTGACGCCACGGGTCACATGGCACGAGAGCGTGCCATCGGGCAGCGTCCAGACGGGACGTGCCACACGCATTCCTGCGGGGCAGCGACCGATGGCCTAAATGTACGGTCGATTTTCTCAGCGCGTCGAACGCCCGTTCATGGGCCCCGGGTAATGTGCGAGCGTTTGGGTTCGACGCGGGTTTGCAGACCCCTGCCAGAGGCGCGTCAGAGGACCCTCCGCTGACGTCATGCTAGAGCTGAGTGCGCCGTACGCCCTGACGGCGATCATCGCTTGACGCGTGATAAGTGTTTCTCCTCCCGTCTAACTGTCTTCCAGGTCACCTTGGGGGATTCGTTTGTAGAAGAGGAGTCTTCAGTCAGTTGCTTGCATGCTTCAGTGTCTAGTATACAAATTATGTTGTCTTTTTTATGGATCATTGCCTATGGCTTGTCGCTTGCAGCTTTCTCGCGTACATATTTAGCTAAAATGTTTTGAGCGATTATATAAACCTGATCTACGGCTGTAAACCATGACGAGCAAGCTCTCTTCGCTCCATAATTGGAGCAAACATATCCGCCTAATTTTGTCCACATCTGCAATGCACGTTTCGCACTGTACATAAAATTCTGGGCAATTTGCCCCCTCACGACGGATACTGGCTGGACATGAAGACTGCTCCTCAGCCAAGTGCCTAAAAGACACCACGCTCTCGCATGACCCCATCGGTTTTTTGGCGCGCGTCCGACGCGCGCAAAAAGCACCTACCGGACCAGGCTATCAAAGGTGTCCGCCGAAGACCGGCGCCGCCTCAGCTTCCGGTGTGCTGAGTACGCCGAGCAGAGCGGTGACACGCACCGGGAGTGTGGCAGTCCGGCGCTGCGCAGCCCGTCACCGGCCACGGGGATCGGTGCTGCGTGGCCCGTCACAGATCAGGAAGGATTGGCGCTGCGTGAGCCGTCACCGGCCAGGGGAATCGGTGCCGCGTGGCCCGTCACAGATCAGGAAGGATCGGCGCTGCATGGCCCATCACCGGCCATGGGGGAACGGTGCTGCGTGGACTGTCATAGATTAAGAAGGATCGGCGCCGCGTGGCCCGCCACCGACCAGGGAGGACCGGTGCTGCGTGGCCCGTCATCGGTGCTGCGTGGCCCGTCATCGGTGCTGCGTGGCCCGTCACCGGCCAGGGAGGACCGGTGCTGCGTGGCCCGTCACCGGCGCCGCGCGGCTCGTCACCGGCCAGGAAGGATCGTCCCCACCCACGGCGTCCGGCTGCGCAGCGCGGGCTCGTCTGGCCACTCCGCACGAGTGGCCCTTGAGCGGCACTCGAGGTCGGTGGCCCTGGATGGTGATCGGTACTAGGCGCTAAGCGGGCCCAGTCGTGACTGCCATGGAGGTTTCGCCGGACGGCGTTGGGTTCGGAAGAGAAAGGCCGCTGCAACAAAGAAATCAACTGATCAAATGCGAAGAGATTCCGTGACGATTCCATCCGATCGCCAGCAGAACTTCGAGTGGATTTCTATTTCCATTTGAGAAGTGGCGCTATCCCTGGATGGATTCCAACCAGGCTGGCTGCGTTGACAATATGAAGGAAAAACGTCCTGGGGGATTGTGGAAGGCCAGTGTAGAACGTTTGTTTAATAATGGGCATATTGTTGTACTCCTTTCTATTCACATGTTGGTAATTCTGACAGTAATGGATGCTGTTACGCTACGCGATGCGTTACATTACGTAACATGCGTTATTTGAGAGTGCTCGCCATTGCGATCCGGCAGGTTCAGCCCCAGCTCGGACTTGGGGCAAACACTCAAAAGAATCGCTTCCATTCTGAATCAATGAAACTTTACTTGATTCGAGAGTCGATTCGGAGGCGCCCGAAGTCAAATGCAAGTTTGCACATGGCAGGCGATGCGTGCAGATAATGTGTGCAGAGAGCACACTATTTGCCATTCTGATGCACCGAAGCCCGAGGGTAGCTGAAGCGGATCTCCACAGTGTTACGTCTCATCCGTGCTAATTCGTGAAGCCCGGCAGCCGCATCGCCTTGAATACTGCTGGAAGGCACCCAGTAATTTCAGCTTCCAACGTTAGCTCCCTGGCGCTGAGTAGGGGAGAAAGATCTCAAAAGGTCCAAAGACATGCGTTTGGAGCTCCCAATCCTTTCTGTAAATTGACGCTATTCCACTCCACGAGAAATGGGTCCAATCTCGGTTGGAGTTGGACTCGAATGTATGATTTATCGGGACTTGGACTTACTGAGCTTATCCTTTGTACACATGTGTCGGACTCGAACTCGGGCATCGCACTGGAGAACACCGAGGGCCTGGAGTGATGAGCAGACTCAAGCCACCAGATCCCGCAATCGGATATGGACGTATCAGGAAGCCTGGGACTCGGACACGGACGAATCAGAACGCCTGGGACTCGGACACGGACGAATAAAAATGCCTGGGACTCGCAAACAGACGAATCAGAAAGCCTGGAACTCGGACACGGACGAATCAGAAAGTGTGGAACTCGGACCTAACTGGACCTTGATTCTCATTCAAATTCCTATCATTTAGAGAGCAAACGGACAAAAACTCGTAACCCCTGAAAGCGATGAGACTGGATTTCCACTTGGACTCATAAAATGTCTTAAGCATGGACTCGGGCTGGGACTTGGGTCAAAGACTCCAGACTCAGAATTGGACTTACATTTTTGGACTGAGACCATGCCTTCCACGCACTATGACCGCTGTGCAGTGCAGCAGTGACAGTGGTCCTGACTCCACTGTCACTGGGATTTTAGTTAAGATGCCCCAGTAGCTTTTGCTCAATAAAGCCATTAACACCCTTAGGATGACCTTGCTATGGAATTGCGTCTACCCAGGGTCCACTAGTGGCGGTAGATTCTTCAACGACAGTGGACACCATCAAGCAATAATCGTTTCGCTATGAAAAAGGGAGTTAACTTTTTGCACTTGGACGATTTAAGCGAACGGTACTAAACCCCGGTGTTACTTCTGCCATCGTCTTTCTCTATAGACAAAGAAATAGCAATCCCACAATGTAGCGCCACGCCTACACCTACCATACCAGGGCCAACCATATCGACACACTGCAATGTGGTGGAAGAACGTGGCTCTTCGTGCCTGGAATGTGGAGAAGTATCCTGCAAACCGTGTGTGCAAGCTAAGCGAGACCTCGTCTGCCATCTGTGCATTGCAAGTGCAGGCGGTCTCTGATGTGCTTCATGTGCTTGCTTTTACTGCGAGGGTGCACTTGTGCTGTACCTGCTTGGCATTCTATCATTATCAACCTAAGGTTTTTCCAAGTACATACGCGCAAAAGTTAAAACTCTTGAACGCACGCGCAACCGACAACCAAAAGGTGTCGCTGGCCACGGCCCGTAATACACCGAGCTGAAAACGTCGACAAATGCACTGAAAAGCAGTCCCACCTTAACCTAGGGCCGAGCAGTGGCACTTGCCTGTCACGCAACCCATCGAGATGAATACTCCACAGCCACATCGCAAAGGTTCTAGCAGGACTTACATCGCATGGCTACTCGCCTCGCCAGCGTGAGGCAATGCTTTGAGTCACGGGACTGCGGGGGACGCGACCACAGCGCCCAGACGTCCCGACGCCTCCGAGAGTAAACAAACCGGCGCCGCGACAACACACGACCACGTGCAGCACGTGCCACGTGATGTGGCACGCGTGGCTGGCGGAGACCCTGGACGCTGAATTCAGTGCACTTCATCGGATTCAAAGCGTAGCACGTTCGGTGGCCGTCAGACACGACTGCACGGAACCGCGCATGGAACGCGCTGCGTTCCTGCTGACCGGCCAGCGATCCGGCGCCCCTAGACTGAGTCCGGACCGTCCGGCACCCGCAGAGTCCGGACCGGCCGGCGGTCCAGCACCCTCAGACTGAGTCCGGACCGTCCGGCGCCTGCAGAGTACGGACCGGCCGGCGGTCCAGCGCCCGCGGACTAAGTCCGGACCGTCCAGCGCCCGCAGACTGAGTCCGGACCGTCCAGGGCCCGCAGACTGAGTCCGGACCGTCCAGCGCCTGCAGACTGAGTCCGGATCGTCCAGCGCCCGCAGACTGGGTCCGGACCGTCCAGCGCCCGCAGACTGAGTCCGGACCGTCCAGCGCCTGCAGACCGAGTCCGGACCGTCCAGCGCCCTCAGACCGAGTCCGGACCGTCCAACGCCTGCAGACCGAGTCCAGACCGTACAGCGCCCGCAGACTGAGTCCGGATCGGTCACGGTGACGGCGACATCGGTGACCGCCGGCCGCCCCCGGCGCGCGTCGGGCAAAGATGGGCGGGTCTCAATACGCGAACCATGCCCCAATCTGCACGCTGTGCTTTCAAATCGCTGTTTGTATCGCGAGTGTATCTTGGTATACGGATCGGGACGGAACTGTGCCGTGCCCGCGCCGGTCGAGACCGTATGCAATACTTGTCTCCACTGATGTGTGAAACCTCCCTGAGCATGTTTTGCCTCCATAGCAATACCGTGACTGTGCAAGCATGCTGTGAAATGACGGTGTTATCCATGTTGGTACAGTGATCGACATATTTGCATATATTATTTGCTGCCAGCGTTTTAAAGGAATGCATTTGTTTAACAGTAAGCACAGCTTTACGTTGAGGGCAGCTTTTGCGGCACATCAATCCTGCAACAACCAAATGAGGACTAAAAATGGTCTGAAGGCTGTCCGAAAACACGCCAGCGTACCTCACGCCGTAGACAGAGAGCACTCCAAAATACGTACCTTCAACACGTGCAGCGATTTCGAACTGATGCTCGTGCACAGAATGGCAACGATCAAAGCGCCCAGGTGCCGCGCTAACCGCAGATGCTGAGGTCCGCCCTGCGAGCAGGCAGTTCCAGAGAGTCGCCGGTGTCTAGCCGTGCACAGTCAGCCCTCCGCCCACAGCACGACTCCACCACGGCAGCCCCGGCCCCGTGCAGCGGCACAACTGGCGTCCGACCCGGGCAGCATGCAGCCCGCGCGCCCCTCCCGAGCCCCGGGGACGACCGCGGGGGGCGCGGACCGGCCGGCCGGCTCGCCGCAGGACCCGTACATGAAACGCTGTTCACCCATGTTGTCGCTGTATGTGTATTGATGAGCCGGAAACGAACACGTCGCTGAATAGAGGGTACGACGAGGCTGTCTAACGGGCCACGGGGTGCTGCAAAGATCACAGCGCGTTCGTCACGGCGACCCGTGATGGAGACAGTCCCGCCAGACGAGGAAACGGTTCTCTTGTGCTCGAAAAACGCAAATGAGATGTTTTTGCGGTTAATGGCTCGTCCAAAATTGAAGAGCGATTGTGTTTTTGTTTGCAGTTGCAGCAAAAAGAGAGCGTGCGTGTAGTCGTTTATGATGGTGAACAGACATTGCCCCAATAAATACGTTAGATAAGCTATAGGTATAATAAGCCAATGATGCGTACCGTTTCACCCTCAAATGTCAAAATGACAACATGGCGATCACGTTGACCACAAATCATGAGGGCCATCTCAGGAGGAATGGTGATGGCAGCCGGAAGGTATGTTTTCAGACCATCGACGCAGTGATGCTTTTCTTGCCTTGTACCATCACAATAAGACATAGTGATGGGCCACAGTTGGTCAAAACATGCACACAAAACAGTCATTACTTGCTTAACTGATGCTTCCTCAGCGAATCCTTGAATAGAACCATTCGCGGAGTCACGCACGGGTAGCGGTAATGTGCTGTGCAATCATGGAGCCGCAAACGTAAAAAGTCGTCCGCAAAATTTGCGTTTAATCACAGGTCGTCTGTACTGACGTAAATTTCAAGCACTGCACGAGAGCTGATCTCAGTTTGTGCTGGCCATGACATTGGTCTCCCAGTGGCCATACCAGCCATGAATCATGCGAGAGTTCGTGCGCATTAGAAACCCGTGACACTAAGTGGTTTGGGAGCACGGATGGCATCACTAACGTGGTCACGTTTTTCCACTCCGTCACAGCTTTTCATTAATGTGAATCACTACCTGGCGCGTTTATGAATCCCTCAAGCTGAATTTCCATTGGCCGGAGTGCGTTGCCATTATCAACACTGCGGAAACTGTCGTGAGGTCCGTTGTTCAGTCGAGGTGTGTCCTGAACGTCACAATTCCGTCCATTACCACATTAGTCCTGACTTTGTGGCTTCGTCTTAATCCCGTCTTCAGAGTTCTTTTGCACTCGCGGCCGATCACGTAGAAGCTAAGCTGTTCTGAACGTGATTGTCATTTTTTGGCTCGTTTTGTTCTCTAGTCATTGCTTTTCGATGGAAGACCAATGACTAACAAATGTCAGTGCCAGTCCCAGGCCGTCTGTTAAGCTAGGTAACAGGAGCGAAGCCCATACTGTGGCGAAGCGCTCCACCTTGCAGCGGCCCTCTCACCACTGGATGACCAATCACTGCAACTTGAGTCAGTGCGCTCATACAATCACAGAAATACAGTCAGCAGGTAAAATATGAAAAACTCGTCGTTACATGTAAGGATTTCCCTCATTCCCGTTTCCAAAGTTACCCACACAGTTCACAAAAACGAGAAAACTATAACAAAAAAAAGTTTAGTTTATTTTTCTCTGAATGACAAAATTGTGTGACTCGAGTTCGGGACAAGCAATGTTTCGGGGAGCCCTAGGCTAATGGACTGGGTGCCGAGCAGCCAAACCGTTTTTTTGCGACGATCTTTACCACATAGCGCATGCTTTTTGTTGTAAACCACCGGCTGCGTGTCGTCGAGAACAGCTAACGGCTTCTGAGACACGTCTATGATATAAGCAAAACATTACCTTCCATAGCACGTCCATAATTTGGACGCCTCCGTATGAACTCAATATAGACTTAATGTGCATTGAAATGCCCCTTGAAGGGTCTGACAATTTTCACAGGAAGTTTACGGTATGAGAACGTGGCACCTACGAGGCTTTGATTCATATTTAGCCGTTTGACCTCCAGAGGTCAAACCGGAAGATACACCTGATAATTTTACATGATGGTGTGTGGCATGCCGCAAAGCATCCACACCAAACGGCCGAGAACTTAAACATATTTCAGAGAATCAATGCTTAATACTACTATACTCTCACGTTACCTGGTTATATACTTATATACTTATGTTACAGGTATGCATACCTAAAAACTGAGTCCTGAAGATGACAATTTAACCACAGGGCATCTAGCAAGGTACGGTTGAACCGTTCCCGAAGCGCCAAATGAAATAGCATTGCATGTCACCACAGGTACGCAGACCTAAAAACCGAGCCTTAAAGGTAATCATCTGAGCTCGGGGCATCGCGTAATGCACGCCACCACCGTTCCCAAGCCGCCACACGAAAACGCAGTCTCATGGACAACTGAGTTTCAAGCGACAGCACCGTTGCTAAGCTGAACATTCCTGTTAACAGAGTACCAAATGTATTGAGGCAGACGCCGGAGCACTATAAAGGGACTTAGGGTATACGCACACTATCCTACTCGCCTCGCGCTGAAACAAAAGGGCAAATTGTGCTGCTCTTTGATTAGCTTGCAACTTTTACAGGACAGGACAGTAATTTTTTGTAGGAAATTTAGCCTTAACAAGTCATAAGGCTCAGATCTGGCGCATACGACGACTTGATGCGAATTGAGGGAAGTTTTAACTTTAGCATTCCTACACAAGCACAAGTCCGAGAAAGATGTATGACCAGCAAAACACCCTAACAAGCATGCATTGACCTCAAGTTAGAAAAGGCATGATTGCTATGAAAACGGTGGCGTTTGGTGCGTGGGGTATCTCTGACACAGATTTGCCCAGGCTAAAACCTGAAACCGCATTCTTATTCCAGAAGGGCACGGATGATGATCTGGTCATCAGTGCAATCCGTTTGATTTCTTTGAGGCCTTGATTTCTTCTTAAATTATAGGGTATATTTATTTCAAACTGGATGACGTGTTCTGGGCTCGGGAGGTCGGCCGGCTAAATGTATTCTAATAACGTTCCAACTCATGAAAACGCCTGAAAGCTGCAAACCTGAACGCTTGAGGGCTTTAAAAAACAACATTCTGGTGATGGAGGCCCACGTTGTAGCAAGAAGACTGCTATCTTGCGTTCTTGACAGCTTGAATGGTTGAGGTTGTTGGCGCGGCAAAAGGCCCCCGTCATGACGAATGTGGCCGTGATGCAGCAATACATGAGGCCCTATTCGGACTAGGCGAGCGACTCCCATGACTAACAACCCTCCATGAATAACAGCGGCATGTTCTCTATGACTAAGAACATACCTTCGTCTCGACTAGGGGGAGGACCCTGCGTTGATCGAGAAGAGATTCAGCAAAAAGAGATCAGCAAAGCAGATGTCTTAGGTCGTTTTGTGGAACCAGATGAGCCGTGGTGTTGTATGAAGTAGTGGGATTTGATGTGTTCATAATTTCATTTTCTCCTTCTTTTCCAAAAAAGCTTCGATCATCTGCGCCCGAGGAGAGGGGATATGAAGCTCAAGTAAAAAATACTGGTTTATGACAAATCATAGATAGCATCGTCATTGTCGGTGCTGCTGAGCGATATTTGAACGCGTGGGTAGAAATTGTATTGCAAAGCAGTTGCAGGCAAAATCCAGAACATTGGGATTTAGGTGGCCCATGTAATGTGGGTAGACTCTTAGTGTTGACCCTATCATAAATACTTGCTTACCATTAGTAAATGCAGAGGAAGGGGCGGGGGGAATGATGCACGTGCCTCACTCCCTTAGATCTCAAGGGGTTCGAACGGCTGGCCGGAGGCAGCATTAAGGGGCCTGGTCCCAAGGGCCGGGCTCTCAAATTTCAATCAGAAGGTCCTTTATGCTGACTGGAGTACCCTGAGTCGATTAGGGCCCCTATATCGGTCAGGCATCACCAGTGTCGAATAGTCTGCTCGGTGATGGTCGAAGCCTCAGGGCCCATTTTCCAAGCCGTGAGTCTTTCGCATTTAAAGATGTTAAAGTAAACATCAGATATGATGAAACAAGCTCCCTTTTAACTATTGGTATGCTTTTTAAGTAGAAAAGACCGCTCTAGACAGCACAACGCTTTGTTTAGCAAATGTGCTTTTCAATGCGTCATGGTTTGGTCACGTCATTGTACCTTGCACAGCATTGATTGAGAGTCATTTGACGGCCGTTATATCTGGAAATTGCTGAAGGATTGTGAACAGCACCGAAATGCCCTCCAGACGACCATTTCAGCTCAAACCCCCATACTAATGTGGAACACTCTCTTTAAAGGGGAGCCCTTGTGACGGCCAGTGGCCACAGTGACTGGCAGGGGGTCCAGTGTTGGCAAAAGGCCCCCATTCAACCATTGGCGGTGCTCGACGTGCCCGAAGAGAGGTCCAAAGAGCTTCTCGAGGTCGACGATGAAGAGCCCAGTTGGTAGGCTGAATGGCCCGAAAGGCTGGCTGTGAACCACATTAAAGTTCCCCGAGTCGATTAGAGTCATAAGGCCTCATTAAGGGCCTCCGGCCGGCTTCAATTTGGCGGCCCCAGGCCGTGACCTAAAACGTCCGTCAAAGTGTCTCTTACACCCAAAGAACAGGGTCCCTTACACTCTTACATCCATATGGTCATGCATATGGTCTTACTTAGGGTCAATGCGGGCCTCCAGTTTGGCAAGAGACCACCTGCACCGAACAGTCGGCTCTGTGTCCGTCTGAGCCCTGGGGTCCATCTCCCAAGCAGGGATGGGACCGGGGCCAGAGGGTCTCTTGCGTTGGTCTCGGCCCTCTGGCAGTTAAAGGAGATAAGGAAGCTTATGCTGAGAGTCTTCAATGAGGGGATGGAAAGGCCCTGTGCCAGTCAGAGCCCCAGTACTAAACGGGAGTCCTCCATTCAATTTCAGCCAGGGACCCGTTAAGCCGAACTGGAGTCCCTGTGTCAGTTATTGGACCACCTGTGACGATATGGGATCTTGTTGCGTCAATGAGGGACACCGCGTCGATCTGGAGCCATCTGTCCAGGTGAGATAGCTTTCCGCACCTGATGTATATATACATATATACATATATATATATATATATATATATATATATATATATATATATATATATATGTATATATATTATA